TATTTTTTTGTTGAATAGGTATTATCAAAAGGATGGTTTCATGCGAATTTGAAGAAAATATTTCAACCCCCAAGGGTGGAAAATTGGGGATGAAATTTTTTATACGCAATATCTCCGCCAATTATGAACCAATTTGAACGATTATTTTTTTGTTGAATAGGTATTATCAAAAGGGTGGTTTCATGCGAATTTGAAGAAAATATTTCAACCGTCAAGGGTGGAATTTGAACGATTATTTTTTATATTTCACCCCCAAGAATAGAACGTTAGTTGTTACGAGATATCTCATTAAGGCTGCGCGTTTAGTAGGCCTACCCATATTAAATGCACTAAGGGTATCTACAAAAAAGTAACACTAAAAATTTTAAAATAAAATAATTAACTTTTTAAAAAAAATAAAACCGACTTCAAATGCGAGAACACAAAAAAAAACTAAAAATTAAAAAATAATTCCTAATACCTATTACCTAATACTATAATTTTTCTAAACTATATCAAAGTAATTAAAGTTAAACCATCTAAATATCTTAAAATAGTTATACTTATATACCTACCTATTGTTTTTTGGAGTCGGTGCCAGTAATAAATGAATATTAAACCTAATGAAATAAGAAAAAGTACTCAATGAAACAAAAATATTAAGAAATAAGTTGTATGTAGCCTGGTACAACTAAACCTATACCAACAAAGAATAACAAATACCTACAAATCCTACAATAGAATACAACAAACAAAAAAGAAAGCAATAATTTGAAATATTGCGCATCCGAAAATTCAGTATTTTTGACACGAGCGTCAACGTAGTCTGCCCTCAAGCGTCTGCCCGCCTTCGGGTCGCTTACTCGAGCAAGACCGCACGCGCCCGCGTCCCCCGCCGCACCGCGCGGCCCCGCCTCGCGCCATGCGTCCCCCGCCACCGCGTCGCACGTCTCTAGTCTCTAATTCGCGGGTAAACTTAATACGCTGGCACTGGCACCGACTCCAAAAAACAATAGGTAGGTATATAAGTATAACTATTTTAAGATATTTAGATGGTTTAACTTTAATTACTTTGATATAGTTTAGAAAAATTATAGTATTAGGTAATAGGTATTAGGAATTATTTTTTAATTTTTAGTTTTTTTTTTGTGTTCTCGCATTTGAAGTCGGTTTTATTTTTTTAAAAAAGTTAATATAGGATGTATTAAATTCTAGTTGAGTACAAAGTTTTTAAGCTAATTGTGTATGTTACCTCTTGAACCTAAGGACCACTATACATATTATCTAAGTCATGGCAAACAGATGATATTCCTAGGTTATAGATTTCTAGTAGAGTAAATTAAGAATAAAATAAAACACACTAATTACAAAAAAAGGATTATTAATTTCCTAAAGCATACAATACATTTAATAATATTAAAATTACTTCCAGAGTTTCTTGATAGACATATTCTTCTCCGAATCCTTCTGCATGACCTTAGCTACGGCCATCTCAAAGTCCTCCTGAGTGACGTGGACTCTGCGCTCACGGAGAGCATACATACCAGCCTCAGTGCACACACCCTTGACCTCAGCACCTGATGCACCAGGCATCAGCTCCGCAATCTTACGTAGATTGATGCCTCTGGTCAGATTCATCTTTCTAGAGTGAATTTTCAAAATGTCAAGACGAGCTTCCTCATTTGGTGGGGGGAACTCAATCTTCCTGTCAATACGTCCAGGTCTAAGCAGGGCAGGATCCAAAATGTCAATCCTGTTGGTAGCCATGATAACCTTAATATTCTTTGTGGCTTCAAACCCATCAAGCTGGTTCAACAACTCCAACATAGTTCTCTGTACTTCAGAGTCTCCACCGCTGCCTGACTCAATACGAGATGAACCAATAGAGTCGATTTCGTCCATGAAGATGATAGAGGGAGCATGTTCACGGGCCATAACGAAAAGCTCTCGCACCATACGACTGCCCTCACCAATGAATTTCTGTACTAACTCAGAACCTGAGACACGGATGAAGGTGCACTCGGTGTGATGAGCGACGGCACGAGCCAGCAGCGTCTTACCAGTACCTGGTGGTCCATACAACAGTACACCCTTAGGCTGAGCAATACCCAGAGCATCGAACAGTTCTGGATGTTTAACTGGCAGCTCAATGACCTCCTTAATCTCCTTGATCTGTTTGTCTAAACCTCCCACCATCTCGTAAGTGGAATCCGGAACTTTTTCAACCATCATAAGGGAGACAAGAGGATCTACTTTGTTTGGCAGGATTTTATGAAGTGTGTAGCTTTCATTACGCAGCGCGACTCTGCAGTTAGCTGTTACATCGTTGATATCTACATTTTTGTCCAAGTCTACCACGAATTTACCTTCAGGATGCACCTTCACAAGAACTTTCTTCTTGTCCATAGGTTTGACAACTTCGCCAACATAGGAGCCCTGTTCTTGTAAGAGCTGAAGCTCTTCTCGCAGCATACGGACTTTAGCGTTAAGTTCATTACGCTGGGCTTGCAGACGACGAAGATTTTGAGACTTCTCAGCAACAATCAGTTGAAGCTCCTCAATCTTGGTGATATAGTAAGGGCGAAATCCTTCACCCTTACCAGAGTCGACCTCCATTTTAGTGAGAGTCATTTTGATGACTTATTTTGGCCACATTCACTAACAAAACACCTGTTTATTCTAACTCAACACAATAATTTCAGCCGCACAATGTATTTTTCCGAGTCACGATGACGTGTGACGATGCGAATATTTAAAATTCTACTATTATTTTTTAAATTATTTTATGCAATGTTTGAGTATCAGTTTATCATCAATATTTTGCCAAATTCGTTTACAGTTGCATTTGTTGCTAAAATTACATTTATCATAAAATAAATACGGCAATAAACTATAAAACTCTTTTTGTAAATTTACCAAACCATCTTTGGTTTTCACTGCTTGCCACATTTTTAAGTATGCGTTCAAAAATTAATAAATTAAACTATTTTTGTGTTCATTTTATTAGACGAAACAAAACGACGACGGAATGGATTATTATTCTAATTTAATTGTTTTAGTTTAAATTAAAATTTTAGATGATTTTTTGTAAAAAAACCTTCCTATGGTGTAGTATCAGAAAAAACTGAAATACTGTAAAACGTCTCAGATTTTGGCACAAAAGTCATCATCAAGTCATGATGACAACAATAGTGTAAAAATGTGAAGAACAGCAATAATGTAAATTAAAATAATACAAATTTTCAACTTTCCGTCGCACATTCATAAGATGATCCAACAAACAGAAGCCAAACCATACATACCAATCTAATGAAGAATTTCATAGTAAAAATGTGCGTCGTAACTACAATATTTGTCGTCGTATGCAGTACAATAATTTTGAAATTTTTGTGGCTGGCCCGAATTGGTTCTTTGGCACACTGGAGCTATTTAATTGGCAATGCTTTGTACCCAACAGATCCTTCAGGAAGTTTAATTTTAAGTGCAAGCGTATTCAGTTTCATAGCGTTGGGGACTGCCGTACCCTCATTCTTGTTTCCAAGATATAAGTTTGTGGCGACTGCAATGAGTGTACCTCCCCAAATTCATATGCTTCTACTGTTACACAGAAACGTAACGCGGCGATTTGATAATGATACAATTGGAAAATCTGTCCAAATTTATACGGCAGTTACTTTGATTTCTACATTATGGACTATTGTATCTCTTTTAAGACAGTAGTAAAAGTAAACCTAGGATAGCATAATGAAGAATAGATAGACGATTAATTTTGAGCAAGTTTGATCCAGGACAGGAACTGTATAAAGATGATATCGACATAAAGTCACACATCTAAATTGTGTTCGTAAAACAATAGAGTTCACATTTTTTGCCTGAACCGCTAGCAATTCAACCAAGGTGGAAATTTAATCAAATTAATGCCTATTGTTTATCGATCAGTGGAAATACAATAAGAAAATAAGTTTATATTTCACAAAATTTCTTTCCAATTCAGAGTTTATCTTAATTTAATAAAGAAATAACTCATAATTTTCTGTTCTTCATTTGTTATTAGATTTCCAATAATTAGCATCAATACGCAAAATCAATTTTAGATCAAAGTAAGTAAAAGTCTCGTGATAAAAGTTTATTTACACAAGAGATTCACACTAATGGATCGTAATGAATGAATGAAATAGACCAAAGACCAAAACGTTATCTTGATCTTAGTTAATTATTTTGTAAACTGTTAAATTACAAATGCAATGCATTTCAGTTCATGTCTACAGCTTAAAAAATCAATGGAATAGTGTTTTGCGATCCGATAAAAATATTTAATCAATAAGTGAGGTAAAACAAAGTTTAAATATTTGTACAATATCTATACTTATTACATAGCGGTTTATTTCCAGTAGCCGAACCAAAATTCGCGATAAGGCAGTTTCGTTGACGCGGTGCTAAACGGTAGTCGTTTCGCGCTTCGCGCGTGGTGTGGTGGTACGAGGCATTATAAAATTCCTTTTCCGGCTGCGGAAAAAATTTTAAAAACATCCTTGACACTTGACATTGACATAAGATTGACAGGTAACCTACTACATTAATTTGTAATTTTGTCAAAAAATATTGATTTATTGCGTTGAATATTTTCAGCGGTATGTTATCATATAAAACTAAGTTTAATAATGTGATAGGTACTCAAGATTATGTGTAATATAAAAGTTTTCGATTGATAAAGCGACTCAATAGCGTGCAGTGTATTTGTAAAACAACGTCCAGCATTGTTTTTATTAAGGTAATGTTTATGTTATGTTTACGACTCTAATCGTATTTACTTGTTACAAGACGTCAGAGTTTTTTTTGTATCATAATTATCTATAGAACATCCTAACATTTTGTGAAAATTTAAAAAAAATTTCATGACAAGGACGAGGGGTATTAAATTTTTTTTTCAGTGTTTTGTCGAAGGTAGGCAATGACATTGCACTATAAATCCATAAGTTCGGTATCAGGATACGAAGGAGGTTGTGTGCGTCTTGACGAGTGCAAAGTGTAAAAGTGAGAATTTGTGTCACCTGCTTATCTTCCTGTTGATTCAAGGTAGAATAGTAATGTCATAATGTGTCAAGTTGTCCTCTATCATGGGCAATGATTATACAAACAACATCACATGACTCTCATGGCAACAATTGCTATTTTTGAACATAAAACTAGTCGAGACACAATACTTATTTTATGTTTGTATGTTGAGAATAATTAATTATATTATTATGTAAATGTGTGTATTGTTAAAGTGGGCTTTATGTGGTCACTAGTAAAATATGGTATATTGCTTTTTTTTAATTGGACAGATATTAATTTTTTTTATATTAAAAAATAATTGCTTTTTTTTTAATTGGACAGATATTAATTTTTTTATATTAAAAAATAATTATAGTTATTTTCCAGTAGGACTTATAATATAATTCAGTTGGACTTACAGTAAATTAGAAAAAAAAAATACAAAATAAATAAAACTACCCACATTCAGCAAAGGCCAATTATCAAAAAGTTACACATCTGAATAAATGTGTATATTTTTACTTAAATATATATTTACCAGATAGGCATGCCTGATTCATAATTAAACTATTAACTGACCCATATGGTTTTGAACCGATTTTCCTTAAAAAAATATTATCACTAGGTTTTATTATTATTTGTTTATTGTCTAAGTGTCTGTCTATAACATTCTAATACCAAAAACTGATCTTTTGATTTTGATCCATTATAAGTTTACACAAATCACAGCAATTTATTTATATTAATATAGATCTGATTTTTCCAGTATGGGTAACACAAGTAAGAAGTTAGCAGCGAAATGCACGCTTCTAACGAAAGATGAACAGAAGTATCTTGCGGCTACATTCAGGGCGGCCAGCAAGAACTCGGATAAGATACGCGAGGAGGACCTCATCGTGAGTGGCAAATTAGACGCAGTGTTGCTAGAAGTGTGTTCATTTTCCTTTATTATTTTCGATTTAGTTCTTTTTGATTGGTGATGAGAAGTCGCTATCTCCACTAAGATTTTTAGCTTGAAATAACTTTTTCTTGAGTGTGGGTGGGTACTTATTAAGTAAATGAAGTCAATCCCAAATCAATTAACTCGTCGAGTACCGTCATTATAGACACAATTATAAAACAATAGGTTGCGGTCACCGGTGACCGCTTGGTGTTTGACAGTTTAATGAAGACCTAAGAATGCATGCATTGATTGCTACTACTGATAGCTTTTATTTGTCAGGACATTTTCTTTTTAGAAGTCCCTGATTGAATTGAATAAATGATTTAGCTTTTGATTTATTTCTATATATTTTATCTCATCACCAATCAAACTTTAATTACATACAAGGTTTTGTAAGTAGATAAAAGTACTTAAATTCCTAGCCATTAAATTTTTTTTAGTTGTAATTTATTTTTGCAATCAATGTACTCATAAGAAAATGCACACTGATGAATCCAAATTAAATAGTAAACTACTTTGCCCATACAACAAAGAATAAAAAAATTAGTATTCTCTGTCCTAACTACTGGGGTTTAATTCCTAGTTGGATCTCTCTATTAATTTATGCACTGAGACCCCTACCAATTTTCCGAATATAGAGTACCTATGGACCTTTTTATCCTTATAGAGGCTAGGCAAACATGTCTAATGGTCCAGTCTTGTGAGTACATTGGTTTTATCTGTAACTGAAATAGAACTTGTATGTAGTAACAATTTTATATTTAAGTTCTTGTTTTGTCCCCCATTTTGTTTTTAATTAAATTGTCTTTAATTTGGTTTGTTTGTCTCATATTAGTGGCTTCTAGATTTATTTGTTGGTGGTGGTATTACTTAAATATTTTTTGTGACTAGCAATCATCCTCTTTTGATATACTAGTTTTTTTTTGTTTTGGACACATGCCTTTTTGGTCCTTTTGACGTTTTAGCACTTTATTTTTTTAATGCGGCTTATTTATTACGTTTTTTATTTGATTTTTGATATAGCACCAGTTATTTTACTAGTAAATTAGTTACAGTTTTCGTAATCGTGTTGTTTTTCTAGTTTTTGCACTTTTGTAATTAGTTTGTGATTTTGATAAGCACGTTTTAGAAGAACTTGTATTTGCTTTCTTCAGATATCTAATTATTTTTACAATAAATGTACCTACTAATAAGTCGGATTCCTCGTCAAACAGTTAAGTGAGTAAAACATAATAATTAATTAAGTATATCTCATGAAAATTATAATGTGACTACTACTACTATTTGCAATGAAACTTCCCCGCGGCGAAGAAACGATTCAAGTATTGTAAAAGTACATTTTACATAGTTATCTACTTTTTGAACAGCATGGCGTTAAGATGAATTCTCCTCAGAGCCCTTCCGATGTAATTGCTACTCTAATATGGAGTGTTTAGGGTAAAATTATTTTCCTGGAGAATTAGAAAATTTTCTACATTGTCGGCAATGCACTTGTGATGCTTCTAGTGTTGCAGGTGTACTTAGGCTACGGTGACCCCTTACGACCTGCGGAACCAAGACTTTTTAAATAATACGTTGCCCCACACTAGGATTTTCTCCTGTGTCGTGGGTGCGTTTACAAACAAACAAGTTCACATACACATGGCACCCATACCCGAAACGACAATTTGTGGATCACACAAAGAGTTGTTCCGTAGGAATCGTACCCGCGACACATTCAAACAAACAAATATATTTATTTCCATTTTGTTCACATATATGTACTTAATCAAAGCTTATTATTTAACTATTCTAGGTAGGTTACAATACAATGCCTGTATAGAATTAAATCTGTACCACAGGCTTTGTGGTCGCGTGCATTATACATTAGGATAATATAACTAAGCCTTAACAATATTATTTTTACAGTCACCAAAAATTACAAAACCTACATATGTATACATAAGTTAGGAAACACTAACTTTATACTTGCATTTATTAAAATAATTATTATCTATTTATATCTATATATTATTTATTTCATGACAATCAACAAATCCTCGCTTTTTTCATAACTTAATGATAGTAGATACTGAGAAATGCGCTGTTTTGCTCTGGTGTAATTTACATTGTAAACCAAGGTTTCTTTATTAATTTTATTGTACAGATATGGCCCTAAAAATGCAAAAAATCTATGTGTAAATACGTACTTTGATTCATAGCTAGCAGTACAGACAATATCTTTCCGTCTCTTGGCGTTAGTGAGGTTAGCGTCATATGTAAGTGTAGTATGCTGTTTTAGTACAGTGGATAGTATGAATAATTGTCGCACTGTCAGCACTTTACTAGACTCATACAGTAAGCCTGTGGGGTAGCGGTACGGTCTGTGCGTGGCGACTTTCAAGATGGCTCTTTGCGCTCGTTCGATTGGAAGTATCAATGTTTTTCCACTTCCGCCCCAAGAAGTAATGCAGTATTGGATTATCGATTGACACAGGGCTTTATAAATTTGAATAATTTACTTGTGATCACCAATAAACCGCAATTTTTTAAAAATAAATATCAATTTCCGAACTCTAGATGTTAATGCAGCGATATGTTGTTTAAAGGGTTTCATCTAGAATAACTCCTAGATACTTAATGTTATCTACATTGAGGGGCAGCCGTGCCGTCATTACGTTTTATTACTAGCTTTACTGCTACTGACAAATATCCTCAAATTTTCTATTTCTCAATTCAGTATTCATGGCCGTTTGTTCTAATTTCGTGCCCATTGTATTGTGTCGATCGGGAACGAACTGGCGACCTGTCAAAACTGTAATTACTTACCACTGTTTTTAATAGACGTATTGATTGTTAGCTTACGTGATGGTATGTGGTTTCAGATTTGTCGTCAGTTCCTACCCTGAGAATAACTGTTCAATACTTAGTCGTTAAACACTTAATTTACGAGTCGTGTGATGATGTAAGAGGAAAATAGGGTTCGATTCGTGGTCGTGGTTTTTTTTATACATATTGGACTTTTTTTAAGGGGGAAAATCATCGAATGACTGTTCCGGCTTGGGTGAGGCGGGAGGGAGTGTCAGATTCTTACTGACTAAAAACACCCCGTTCCTGCTCCGAATCGGCATCGGCCCTGTTGGGCCCCATCTGTGGTGGTCTGATGGCTCTTTAAGGCGCGCGCGGAACGCGACGCGCCGTACGCTCGGGTCTGTTTCTGGTCGGACGGGGAGTCACCCACGCTCGCCGTCCGCAGGACCGCGCTTACGGTAGCCGGAGATCGTTCCGCGATCCCCGACATACATACATATTGGACTTGGGTTGTCGTTTGGCCATTTCGCCTGGTAGCTACCGATGATGTGGTCTACGATAGAATTTGCCTGCCCAATAGCAACCTATTCGCTTGGGCCTTGAAGACACTCAAATTACACCCTTCAAGAAACAGTCTGACAACGAATTTTACTCCTTAAGCCTGAGCCTTAGCTTTTCTGATTAAAAATCTTTAAAAAATAGGTTAAGTGATATTATTATTGTTTTCTGGTTTTAACAAGTTGTCAGTAGTAGAAAAGAAGGTTCGCTCCATTTTCTATACATGCGTGATCCACAGATTATTGTTCCGGGTCTGGGTGGTATGTGTATGTGATTTTGAACTGGTATGTTTGTAAATGCACACACGACGCAGGAGTAAATCCTAGTGTGGGGCAAAGTTTATTAAGAAGAAAAAAAAAGAAAAAAATTACATAAGACTGATAACATACATAACTGATGATAAGTAGGTGTTACGTTGTATATCCTCTTCGAAGATTGCAAGGCGTGTATTTATACTCAAATGCTTTATGCATTTCGCAGCGATTCTCTCCACTTTTATCCTCAATCATTCTACTGTAGTGGAGGAAATGGCAAATATCTCTTACAATTTAAAGCACCATAACTTGTGTATCACTGCTCCGATGTTCCGTGTTCTCGCAGGTGGCCAGTGTCATCAATTTATCTATCAGTCTAGTAAACAAACGGATACAATTTACGACTGATAGAACCGAAACTATCATTTAAATGCTTGCGTACAAACATAATTTAAGCAATATTCAATGTTGCTAGTACAGAAATATGTATAGAAATGCGGATGTTTCTGTATCGAGTTTGTAAGATACCTAACCGGTCTCCAGGGTGTAGGCGCTTAGCCTCCCTATTTTCCTCAGAAACTACCATAACATAACATAACATCACGCCTTTTATCCCCGAAGGTGTAGGCAGAGGTGCACATTATGCCACGGCCACTGTACAATGAAACACCCACTTTTCACTATTTATGTTATGAGTCCCATGTAATAGGGGGTGAACCTATTGCCATATACCGGGCACAATTCCAGACTCCGTGCTACTACTGAGATTTTTTTTAAATTCAGTAATACTTTGCTCGACCCGGGAATCGAAACCTCAGAAACTATTGCCTGCCATTATACGGTGCCCTATGTAATTTACAACCACAATAAACCGTAACTCGTTTGTGACACCTCTTAAGTGTTAAGGGGTATTTAGGGTACGGTTGCTGCTTACCATCAGGTGGTCATACTTTGTATTCGGTGTATGAAATAATGAATAATGTATGAAATCTCAATAGGCTGTTTAGTTTTAACACTTTCTCTTGAAGATGTAATCTTAACAGATAACAAATAATGATGAATATGATCTGATGATGATTCAACTACAAAGTTACCATTGAACTAATTCTATGCGTCATTCAATTGAAGAAAATGTTGTGTAATAATAATAAGTGATTGTTTATTTTGAAGATTTATTTATTAAAAACTGAGACTATAATCACATTAAACTGTCAAACACCAAGCGGTCACCGGTGACCGCAACCTATTGTTCTATAATTGTGTCTATAATGACGGTACTCGACGAGTTAATCACCAATTGACCAATAATAATTAAGCCTTTGATAATATGACGTCTGCGACTGCCTCGTTGGCCTAGTGGTCACAAGTGCGACTGCCGGGCAAGAGGTCTCGGGCAAAGTAGGAGTAGCACGAAATCTGAAATTGTGCCTGGTATATGGCCTGGTATATGGAAAAATGTCGTGGTGGCTCGGAGGTTTATGAAGCCCTCTTTTCATGCATGAGGATGCGGGTTCGAAACCTACCAACGGCAAGTACCTATGTGACTTTTTCCGAGTTATATGTACTTTCTAAGATCTAGACACCACTGACAAACGGTGAAGGAAAACATTGTAACGCCTCTGGTGTTCCAGGTGTCCATGGGCGATGCCGATTGCTAACCATCAAGTGATCCGTCTGCTCGTTTACCGGCTTATGCTATAAAAAAAAAATATATATAAAAAAACATTGTGCCGACCACAAGCAACAATAATTCTAACTTCGTATTGTAATGTTAGTCATATGCACGTCGATAACTCAAAACCTAAGTAGAGCGCGTTCAGTCTGTTTAGGAAACCCGATATAACATGAAAAACATTTTGGAATATTTACAGCAACATTGAACATTTTGATTTATTCTGTGTTCCAAGTTTACATTACATTACTTCGATATTTTGTACGGAGTCACGCGTTTAATGCACTGTTCTACATATATTTGTTTTACTGCCAATAACTGGAGAGAATGGAGTCTGAAAAAACAAATAAAGGAAGCGTAGACGGATTCTTTAATGATAGTACACTCGAATGCTTTTGTTTAACTAATGTATATAGGTCTGGCTTCCTACACACATCCGCATTGTAGTGGTGTCTAGTCCATTTTTCTTTTCAAGAACATCATCAACATCAACAGCCTAGAAGTGGCCACAAAGTCCTCTTCTCCCACGGGAAGGTATGAGCATTAACCACCACGTTTGCTCAATGCGGGTTGGCGATTTCAAACTTATAATTAGAAATTATAAGCCCAGGTTTCATCACGATGTTTTCCTTCACCGTTTTTTTTGTGGTCTCTAGATAATCTTAGAAAGTACATATATCTCTGAAAAGTCACATTGGCCTTTAGTAGGTTGCGAACCCGAGAAGGTAGTCTAGAAGTCTTAAACTTCCGGGTTACTACGACATATTTATCTTTCATTTTAGTGATAAAGTCTCTTGCAACCCTTTTTTCTTGGGTAAATCCTGCAAGAGGTTATGGATATGGGTGGCCAAATCTATCTATGTATATTATATATAAAAGAAAGTCGTGTTAGTTACACTATTTATAACCCAAAAACGGCTACATCGATTTGGATGACAATTGGTAAGGAAGTAGATTAAACCAAGGAGACGGACATAGGATACTTTTTATCCAATTCTTTTTTAAACTTTTTCCCAAAAATCCCGAACGGGAACGGGGAAGAACGAGACTGTGCGTACGAAGTCGAGTGCAGAAGCTAGTACTAAAATATTTGTGCAATGTTTCGATCAACAATAACAACTTGTTGATCGAAGGTGCAATGGTATCTAAATCTGTTGTGCTGTGTAGACCAGTGATGGAAACACATTTTTCATAAAAAGCTAGACTTAAATTCATGGCTAGCAAAATGCTGTCACGTATAACGGGTAAAGTTCAAGTCCTAAGTGATTCCTATACTAATTACTAAGGCTTATATTATCTTACAACTGGGCTAAAACGATGATCGGTGTGGTTGGCCATATTCTATCCAATAGGGTAGATGCCTAATTTTTATTTTAATGTCCGTCTGATAGATTATTTTAAATCATTAGACACGTATTTTTATTTTCTTACAGAAACGAACTTTCGACGATATAGTGATTTGAAATGTCGCGTGACGTCACTTCTATGTACATTTTATACGTACAAATAACGTTCTACCCCCACTCCTAAACTTTGATTCGTTGTATCTAAGTATTGTTTTATTATACGGAAAGTAAAAAAATACGTGTCTAATATTTTTTCATTACATAACTTATGGACTAATTATATTTTTATATCCTGTCATATCCCAATTTTCCACAAGTATTAGCGACCCGGTTTATATTCTAATACTGAACTTACTAACATCTACAATAGATATTGGATCTATAATATCTCAACTGCAAATGATTTGAAGAACATTAACATTGTTTAATACTCGATTGAGACTGTATAATGGGTGGTCATCAATAAATCATCAAGTCATATCAACAAGGAAGCTGTTCATCGTTACTATTGCAGTAGTAAACTTACACGGATTGTTGGATTTCTAATGTGGCATAAACTAAGAATTATCAGGAAATGTGCCAAGTTTTAGTCAGTACCATTAGGATAGGTACTAGCTAGTCCCGCGCGTTGCACACTTAGGCTCCTATTAATGCCCTAGGGATGTGTCGTAACAGGCATTGCACCGTGGGGGCTCCGGAGCAGGTCTCATTTAGAGGACCCGGTGATTCCATACAGGTGTTCATTGAGGGTGGCTACCGAGGAGGTTTTAGCGAGGTAAAATCCTATACTCCCTAGTCTTTTATCCCAAAAAGCTAGGCACGTTTTGAAGGTTTCCCCACGCCATAAAAAAGGCTCGTATTGATGAGCGCAGTTGAGTTTTCCAACTCAAATTTCAATGTTTCTTCTAATTCGAAACTGTAGTTCTATAGAGTTCAAACAAACAAACTATTCAGCTTTTCCATCTCCACCTTAACCGAGGTTTTTCCAAACCACAATCAAAGTAAAGTAACGAGAAATTGAAGGGAAGGAAATAGTAGAAGTCAGTAAAACATTGTAGTAAAAAGTACTACTCATTGGGTTTTGTTTTGTCACAAGGGAAAACACGTTCTTACATTTCCTTGCGTATGAGAGAAACCAAATCAAAAATGGTCAAGAAAGTAACCATCTACTTAGTATGGTTCTGTAAAGAATCGATTTAATATTTTGGAGTGGTTTGACCCGCTGGTATTTGAACAATCTACCTCCGAAACTAACAACACGGAACAATCCCCGATCACAAAGCGCCATACCTCGCATAACTTAATATTTTTAATAGCAACATTAATAAAGTTTGGAACACATGCGTATGCGCATTCTACCAAGTTTATAGCACTGGCTGTGTTCGAGAAATGATTTACACCTCACTAAACCGATGTTTACGTGTAAACTTAGTTGGAAATAGAAAATGTAGTGTTCGTTGCGCAGGCGCACAAGTAGCGTTAAACGGTCATGACCGTTTGTTTGCGTCTGCTGTTGAATTGGACCGAGTTATGGAATAATGCTGTTTTAGAAAGATTTTTTTTTGACAAAATTTACTTAAATTTGGTCCGTTTGTAATGCACTTTTTGGATTCTGATAGTACCTCTAGATTGGTGGAGTGGTTTTATATCATTTTGTGACGTCATTCTACGATATTTTTGTCTTACCAAAACGTAGTATTGCCCTCTAATGAGCTGTAGGGCTGTAGGCGTGGGGTTGGACAATTCTTACGTTGTTTAAAAACAAATGACTAGTGAAACCGTAGCGCATTGGGGAACTATCTAGGTCCTAGGTCTAGTCCTAGGCCTTTGACTCGATAAACACCACTTTACTGCTTTCCAAGATGGCTTACTATGGATTCGCGATGGAAACAATAAAGTGGTTTGGAAGCTACTTGAACAATAGGTCCCAACTTGTTGAAATCCGTAAAGAGGACGGAACGGTCGTGTCGTCTCTTCCACTACCTGTCGCGCGCGGCGTGCCTCAGGGCTCAATTTTGGGACCGCTTCTGTACATTCTCTACAGTGCCGATATTGTAGACTCAATTAAACATTGCAAGTACCATATGTATGCGGATGATATTCAGCTGTACATGTCTTGTAAACCTGCAGACGTCTCGTTGGCTGTGCAGAATATTAATGCTGATTTGCAAAACGTTTTTACTTGGTCGGAGGACAACTGCCTGGTACTGAATCCGGTGAAATCCAAATATATGGTCTTGGGAAGTAAGAGGACAGTCAGTGTTATGCTGTCTGCTGGGCCAGTGGTTACAATAAACAATGAAAATATAGAAATGGTAGACACGGCAACCAATTTGGGTCTCACTATGGATCCAGAGCTACACTTTGAGAAGCACGTATTAAATAGTACAAGGAACTGTTTTTATAGACTAAAAACTCTATACTGCTTTAGGAAATACTTGAGTGTAGCTCTGCGCAAACAACTTGTGGATAGTCTGGTCCTATCAAGACTGAACTACTGTGACACAGTTTATGGTCCATGCTTGCTAGCAAAAACAAACAGATTGGTGCAGCGTGTTCAAAATGCTTGCATAAGATACTGTGTGGACATACCACGAAGAAGCCATGTCACCCCTTTTGCGAATCGAAACAATATTTTAAAAATGGAAGCTCGGAGACGTTTGCACCTGGCAGGCCTATTGTTTGGAGTTATTACTACCCAAAAGCCACGGTACCTGTATGAGAAATTACAGTGGAGACAGCATAGTTCAATAAACCACATACGCTCAACTACAAATCCACTATCCATCCCTCAGCACAGAACAGCGGCCTTCAGGGGGAGCTTCAAATATGCTGCGACTCACTGTTGGAACAACCTGCCACCACCAATGCGAGGCCTGAAAACCAAAAAACACTTTTTACAACAGTTGAAGAATTTACTGTTAAACACACAAAAACGTACATAGATTACACACACTACATACATAACACATACAATTCACTACTCACCTCAAGGGTCGCGGCCTTCCAACATGGTGATGCACAGGTATCCAACAGGTTGTTGTTCGTAGCTGCAGCCTCCCCCATCATTTATGGTCAATATAGGTATATCTGTATTTTACAGGTCATGCCGGCTACTTGCTGTAAATGCAAAACACACAATTCATATCACACTCACACACGGTACACTACTGCTTTAATAGCAACAATTCACGTCACTACATTTACCAAGTTAAGTGAATCATGGTCTGCACTCACATCATTTCGTTGTTTTGTTGTTTTGCATTCTTGTTCGCTGGCGATTAGTGAAGCTGGCGGGACGCCATTACGTCACCCAAGGAGATGCTGAAAATCAGCGCTGCGACGCTAACCTCTTGAGGTTTAAGTCGCAGAAATTGCTGAGCATTATCCTGTTTTTGCGCACGCATACATGACGCACAATATTATGACCACAGAGCATGTAACAATGGCATGGGCAGTGTTTCCTTGTCTATGGTCCACAGATAATGTTAGATATTAAATATTCTATCATTTCAGTAAAATAATAAGTCTGTGGACCATGGACAAGATCTCACTTCATTTTGATTTTTTGGCTTTTTTTTGTTTTCTTTTTATTTTTTAAATAATTATGTTATGTGTGTTTTGCGCAGAAATAAATGGTTTTTCTTTCTTTCTTTCTTTCTAGGTACCATTATGGTAAAGCTGAAGAGATTATTTAATTTAATTGACACTTCAATTTTAAATTCATATTTTTTTTTGTTTTAATAACGTTACCACACATTGCCTAAAACAAGTATTGAATTGATTTTGTTTATGGGATAAGTCGGTAATCAGATCACCGGACGCCTGTATGTGTCACAGGCATTACCGGCCTTTTGGTGATTAGGAATTTGAGGATTGTTGGGGATTCAGGGATTGGGAAGATAGCCGAGGGGGGGAGCTTTCGCTAACTTCACTTACACGACGAAACACATTGCAAGCGTTGTTTCACGTCGGTTTTCTGTTCAGGCATCATTCCGGTCCAGCCGGCCCATTTGTGCCGAAGCATGGCTCTCCCACACTTTAAATATTGAATAAATATTTTTTGAAAATGAAAATATCTTGATAATTTTTTACACCAACGCTATAATTCGTCATGATATGACTCAAGATTAAATTTAATTTAGGATTGGTCCAATGTGATTTGTTTAAAAACAAAATTCAGTTCGTGCACTCTTCATTGTGTGAAGTGAAAGAAATTAGGTTGAATAAACTTCGTTGCGCGGGTGTATAATATAGCTTCCTTTGTTTTTTTTAATGATTGAAGAATTTGTGTTTATATCCAGACTTTTATGACGTCACAAGGATTAACTATGTACGATTTTGCGAAAGTATTGTTTGGTATTGCAACATTTTTAAATGTTTTTTTTTAACAATAGTGCAATGGGAGAACATGTTATTCGGTTCTATTCTTCAAAGAACACCACACAGTAAAGCGATAATATAATAACATCTATCCAATTCGAACTAATTTTGAGATTATCAAAATTGCCGTCTGTAGCATAAATCAGAAACCTTGACGTAATAAAACGCCTAACAGTACTTATTGGTGGACCTGACGTGGTGGTTTAACCCTAGATATATTTGCTCCATGCATTATGCATTATTTTTCTATTAAAATTAAGATGTTAACTTCAAATCTTCAAGGAACAATAGGTATAAGTAGTTTTATGACTCCAATATGTCTACAAATCGAGTTACCTTAACTTCTACCCCAATATTTGAACTTAACTTAAGTAAGTACTGATTGTTTGGGTTCGGCCTTGTGTACAGGGCGGATGACGTCACCGTCTGTTTGTCTGTCCGTGTAATTTATCGGTTACCGTCTGGGGGCGCGGTTGTAAACGTGTTTGTGCCAATTTTCTATATTGACTCCGAATTCACCGACTCTTTATATTGTGTTGTGGGTCATTTTTTCTTTTTCGCGTAGGTCGTACTTTGATGGATGAGAGTAGGGTTTGCAGAAGGACTTGCGATTGTTATCGACTGTGTTGTGATTTAGGATTTTGACATACAGGTCTGCCTAGTTTGGAAATCAGGGTTTAATAATTAATTTGCACTACCACTTCTGTACCTTAGTTTTACACAAAGTAATGTACAAATCCATTGGTGTTCAATGAAGAATTTATTATTATTATTTGTGTAATTGGTCTTGTGTTATCGTTAGCGGATTTTTTATTGCTTTATAGACATTCGTTTAGTCAGACTGTACGAACATCTTTGAATCAAACAGTATTTTGACTGATCAGTGAGAGTTCCGGATGCCTAGACTCGATTCATTCCGCGATCATATTTGGGAAACAATGGCACACACAACAGTTCCTTACATAAAATCACAACGTATCTATGATGTTCCTCTGCTGTTGCAGGTGCATTTAGGCTACGGTGCCCGTTAAGGTCGGCCAGGCCATAAGCTATGTTGCTATCAAAAACATAATCTTCTTGCAAACCATCAAAACTTAAGCTGAAAATAACGCAATCTTCCTTAAATATTTTGTATTTACCTCGACTTTGGCTCCAGCTAAACGGTTTTCATGACTATTAAACGTTCTACAAACACACTGGACTGGTGCAATCCTTTATCCTTTACTATTATAAATGGGAAAGTGAGTTTCTTTGTTTGTTTGTTTGTTCCGCTTTCACGCCTTAACTTCTAAACCGATTGCTTTGAAATTTTGCAGACGTAAAGTATAAAGTCCGGATTAAATAATAGGGTACTTTTTATCCTGGAAAAATGATATTCCCAAAGCAAAACAAAAATATTGGTATAGATGGCGCTGTGTATATTGGGATATGTCACATGGGCTACTTTTTATCCTTTTGTGACGCGAGCGAAGCCGCGGGCAAAAGCTAGTTAGTAAATAAACGGGTAATCATTATTACAAATAGCAAGCTTTTTTCACCCTATGAACGTTCTTATGTTTACTTACTCTGTTGTCTTAGCGATTCACAATGAAGTTTTGCTTCGTACGACAGTACACGGAGACAAATTATTTAAGTCCTTAGTGACGATATTGTACCGAAAACAATTGCTATGGACTGCGTTAAGATCACAACCAGACTTTATCGCATCGCGTTCCGCGCACCACCACAGATGGGACCCAATTCAAAGTCAAAGCATTTATTTCAATTAAACCATAATTTGGTACTTTTGAAACGACAACAAATACAAAATAAATAATAGTTTGTCAGTCAGTCCGTCTCAGTCAGTCAGTCCGTCAGTGAAGCTAGGTGAAGCTAGGTGCTCATTCCAAAATGTAGAATTGAGCTGATACTCGATCCGGAGCCGCGAAAGGCCTAACGGGTTGCCGGGGTACCGGCTCGAAGAGCAGGAGTAGGAACGGAGTGGTTTTTAGTCAGTAAGAGTCCGACACTCGCTCTCGCCTAACCCAAGGCGGGAGAAGTGATTGGATGATATACCTCTTTAAAAAAAAAGATTGTGTTAAGTAACTCATTAAATGATTTAAGTGCGGCGGTTATATATAATGGAAATAAAACTCAACAGTGAACTAAAACTTTATTTCTTCCGGAAACAGATCAATCACACAGAAGGAATGAAATCAATAAATCAATAGAGTGAAATTAGCACACGGAAATACAAACTGTCGTTCCTTATATTTAAATTATCTAATAGTGCCAATAGATGGCGTTAGTTGTTTCATTTGATGCACAAATTCTAACAATATACTAACTTCTAACTATATCACCCGCTGCTATAAACAGTATGTGGTAGTTCACTACTGGCCGGGGTCTTCTACGTGAGAATTGCGACGATCTCCGTACTTGTCTTTTGGGCTAGAGATCCCGGTTTACACCGTGCGGTCACCGGTGACCGCAACCTATTGTTCTATAATTGTGTCTATAATGACGGTACTCAACGAGTTAATCTTGCATGTTCAGATTATCTACATTACTACTGCAATTACTTAAAATGACACGTGGAAGTGCGAAGAATCCTAGCACAAGCAAACCATTGCTTAAAAGGTGATCACCGATAATTGTATCATTGTATCAAATACCTGTTGTAATGATTCAGGTTTATTGGATAGAAATTTTGCACGGTCCCTGTGAAGTGTGTAGTCTACATAACATAACATCACGCCTTTTATCCCCGAAGGGGTAGGCAGAGGTGCACATTATGCCACTGTACAAAGTAACATCCACTTTTCACTACTTAAGTTATGAGTCCCATGTAATAGGGGGTGAGCCTATTGCCATATACCGGGCACAATTAAAAAATTCTCAGTGGTAGCACGGAGCCTCCGTGCTACCACTGAGAATTTTTTAAAAGCCCAGTAATATTTTGCCCGACCCGGAAATCGAACCCGAGACCCCTTGCTTGGCAGTTGCACTTGCGACCACTCGGCCAACAAGGCATGAGTGTGTAGTTTCTTAGTCAATTTTTACGACTACGACACCCACGGGTGGTCTCAAATGTGCTCTAGTCACCATATGGATTACTATATCTAGAAGTAACTGAATTAGTGCTTCTATTAGCTGATTGCGTACTGTTGGAAGGTCGATTGAAATGGTGTGGATTGAATTTACACACAGCAAAGCGTAATGTAATTACTGAAGTAGCTGACGTTTTAGTAATAAAGCCTCATTGTTTAATGCTTGTTTAAAGCTTTCATTAGTGGCCCACCCACTTCTAGAATTGTAGTTTGAAGGCTGAAGACTTGTTAATTTAATGTCAGATATCTAGTTTTGTGTTTGTGTGTATTAATGAATTTGCTTGGACTTTGTTATGTAAGAATTTAATTACTTAGTACGGTATCAGAACCAAGATATATTGCTAAAAATTCGCAACATGCAAAAAGTTTGGAAATTACCCTTCCATCCCGCCTCACCCAGGCGGGAGCAGTCATTCGATGACTTCCCCTTAAAAAAAATGCCCCAGTTCCCTCAGGGATATATCTGTCCATTCGGAACCGTGAAGGGCCTAACAAGTTGCCGGGGCTCCGGCTCGAAGAGCAGGAGTAGGAATGGTAGGTAGGGTGGTTTTTAGTCAGTAAAAATCTGACACTCACTCTCGCCTAACTCAAGGCGGGAGAAGCAATTGGATGATTTTCGCCCTCAAAAAAAAGAGGACATTCTGTTCAACAGTACATATAAGTACAACTTTTACAAAATGTCACAAAACCTGCCTACTAACATGCTTCTTCATCAGGCTCAAAATAAAGGTGGTTCAATAATGCTTTGGTTCCGCCCTAGTGCGGCCGAGGCCTAAAGGATATTTTCGCCCATATCTAATCAGAAAACAGTACTCAAACTTAGATACTAACAGACTGAACCGAGTCTACCTCGTGATCAGTTCAGCGGAGACTGGCGCCATAAATCTGGACGTCCAGACATTGATCAAATACCCACCGATGAACGTCATCCATGTTTATACGACCGACAATGCTGCATGGAATATTGTAGGAGGTTGTGGGCTATGAAATCAGCGGGTAGAGTAGCGGCGCCAGTTTGTGTATGAAGCATTGTTGTTTAAGTTGAATGTACCTGTATAAAATAG